TAAAAAACAAAACAAAACAAAACAAAAAAACACCCACTATTATATGAGTCTACAGTACCACGGAACTTTCCTCTCTTCATTCACACCATATATAGCTGTAATTCTATACATATCTGTGTGATTATCTGATCTCCCTTAACAGAATGTAAGCTCCACAAAAGGGCAAGAACTTACCCAGTGCAGAGCAAAGAGCCTGAAACAGTGGTTGACCAATAAAAATCTGCTTAATAGGAAGAATGACTATAGCCCTCTTATAATTTTTTTTTTTTTTTTGAAACACAGTCTTGCTCTGCCACCCAGGTTGTAGTGCAGTGGCATGATCTGGGCTCACTGTAACCTCTGCCTCCCAGGTTCAAGTGATTCTCCCGTCTCAGCCTCCCGAGAAGCTGGGACTACAGGTGCATGTCACCATGCGTGGCTAATTTTTGTATTTTTAGTAGAGATGGGGTTTCACCATGTTGGTCAGGCTGGAATCGAAATTCTGACCTCGTGATCTGCCCACTTCAGCCTCCCAAAGTGCTGGAATTCATTACAGGCATGAGCCACTGTGCCCAGCCTGTCTTCGTCTTTTAAGAATTGATTTATGGCTGGGCGTGGTGGCTCACGCCTGTAATCCCAGCACTTTGGGAGGCTCAGGTGGTCAGATTACAAGGTCAGGAGATCAGACCATCCTGGCCAACATGGTGAAACCTCATCTCTACTAAAAATACAAAAAATTAGCCGGGTGTGGTGGTGTATGCCTATAGTCCCAGCTACTGGGAAGACTGAGGCAAGAGAATCGCTTGAACCTGGGAGGCAGAGGTTGCAGTGAGTCGAGATCACGCCACTGCACTTCAGCATGGGTGACAGAGCGAGATTCTGTCTCAAGAAAAAAAAAGGCAAAGACAAAATTAAAAGAGGTAAAGTAGCAATTAAGAAAATAAGCGGGCCGGGCGTGGTGGCTCAAGCCTGTAATCCCAGCACTTTGGGAGGCCGAGGCGGGTGGATCACGAGGTCAAGAGATCAAGACCATCCTGGTCAACATAGTGAAACCCCGTCTCTACTAAAACTACAAAAAATTAGCTGGGCATGGTGGCGTGTGTCTGTAGTCCCAGCTACTCAGGAGGTTGAGGCAGGAGAATTGCCTGAACCCAGGAGGCAGAGGTTGCGGTGAGCCGAGATCGCGCCATTGCACTCCAGCCTGGGTAACAAGAGCGAAACTCCGTCTCAAAAAAAAAAAAAAGAAAATAAGCAATAAACAAATGCAGTGATCAAAGAAATGCAAATGTAAAATAAGACGGTGTTTCCATAACCATTAAACAGACAAAAATAATAATAACCAGGCTTTACAAACACAGACATTCTCACAGTAAACTGATAGGGAGAATATAAATTGGTACTAGTGGCTGGGCGCGGTGGCTCACGCTTGTAATCCCAGCCCTCTGGGAGGCTGAGGTGGTCAGATCACTTGAGGTCAGGACTTCGAGACCACCCTGGCCAACATGTGAAACCCTGTCTCTGCTAAAAACACAAAAATTAGCCAGGCCTGGTGGCTGATGCCTGTAATCCCAGCTACTTGGAAGGCTGAGGCAGGAGAACTAATTGAACCTGGGATGCGGAGGTTGCAGTGAGGTGAGATTGTGACACTGTACTCCAGCCTGGGCAACAGAGTGAAACTCCATTTCAAAAAAATAAAAAATAAAAAAATTATAAACTGGTACTACTTTTCTAAACAGCAGTATCTATTAAAAGCCTTAACGTTTTTTAAGTTTTCTAAAACTTACTTTTAAGAAATCATTAGGTATGTACAAAGATTTAGCTATAAGGATAATTACTACAGTGCTGTCTATAATGGCAAATAAAAAAGGAAACAAAGTAGATGTCTAAAAATGGGAGATTAAAGTATATGATACATCTTTTATTTTTTTTTCTGAGACAGGGTCTAGCTGTTGCCCAGGCTGGAGTACAGTGGCAGGATCACCTGGGCTCAAGCGATCCTCCTGCCTCAAGGTCTCCCATAGTATTGGGATTACAGGTATGAACCACTGTACTCAGCAAATAAGTCTATTTTAATGTGGCTATTAAAATTATTCTGTAGAAAATTTAATAACAAGTAAATTTATACATGGTATATTTAAGTGAAAAAAGTAGGTTTTAGTATGATCCCATTTTTTGCTTAAGCGATAAGAATTAAAATACACACAGATAAACTTGTTCCAGTTTCCCACAGGAGAAAAGACTGGGAAACAAAATACACCAAAATATTGTTATTTTATTTTATTATTATTTTTTTTTGAGACGGAGTTTCACTCATGTTACCCAGGCTAGAGTGCAATGGCGCGATCTCGGCTCACCGCAACCTCCGCCTCCTGGGTTCAGGCAATTCTCCTGCCTCAGCCTCCTGAGTAGCTGGGATTACAGGCATGCGCCACCATGCCCAGCTAATTTTTTGTATTTTTAGTAGAGACGGGGTTTCACCATGTTGACCAGGATGGTCTCCATCTCTTGACCTCGTGATCCACCCGCCTCGGCCTCCCAAAGTGCTGGGATTACAGGCTTGAGCCACCGCGCCTGGCCAAAATATTGTTATTAACAGTGATGTTTTGTTTTCTAAATATTCTACGTTGATAATATTTTACTCTCATAATATGAAAAAAATGTATAAAAAGAAAAAAGAGTAGTCTGAATGATGGGATTTGGAGAGAAAACATGTATTTCAGTTGCAGTATTACCAATCAAATAAATCTCAATCAAGACTGCTGCTTATCTGAATTATCTATTAACTTTTAAACGTGAGGGCCCCAAATACTTAAATTCATTTTAGTGTAACATTATAATGTTATCTTAATTTGAGATTTTCATTTACTGGGATGCTTTTACAATTTATAAGAACAAAGAGTTGATAGACTTCAGTATTTTTAAACTATCCAGTATAAGAAGAGATGAGAAAATAAAATATTTGATTAATCACCTGGCTTCATGCTGGCATTAACAGGTCTGGCAGCTGCCGCAGCCATCTGCTCTCGTCGTGGATCTTGGTAACTCATTTTACTAATGAATTCAATTGCTGCTTCTATACTTCTGTTGTTTGTTTTCTGAAGAGCTTGTATAACCATATCCTGATATGAAGTTTAAAAAAAAGAAACAAAATTTAAATCTTATAAGTAACACAAGGGAAAGAACACTATGAGTTCCACTAGAGAAATCCACAATTATGAAGAACAGGACCCCAAACCATAATATTAATGTTTTGTTTATAGCTACTAAAAACCTCATACAAAATCTCAACTTAAACAGGCCGGGCGCAGTGGCTCAAGCACTGCGTAATCCCAGCACTCTGGGAGGCCGAGGTGGGCAGATCACTTAAGACCAGGAGTTTGAGACAAGCCTGGCCAACATGGTGAAACCCAATCTCTGCAAAAAAAAATAAAAAATTAGCCAGGCGTGTGGGCGCATGCTTGTAATTCCAGCTACTCAGTAGGTTAGACATGAGAATTGTTTGAACCCAGGAAGTGGAGGTTACAGTGAGCTAAGATGACCACTGCACTCCAGTCTGGGCAACAGAGCGAGATGCTGTCCTGAAAAAAAAAAAAAGAAAAGAAAAGAAAAGAAAATCCTCAAATCTTCCAAATGTTTCTTTTTTTTGTCTTCAAATGTTTCTTTAGCATTTTCACCTTTATGTAACATATTTCTATTTCCTCCTGGGATGAAAAAGTTTAAATTTTTTAAATTTTTATTTTTTTCAACACACCATTGTTGGCTTGAATTAGGATTAACTTTTTTGGGTACAATCATAGCAACATGATTCGATCATTTCTAATTCTTATATAACAATCACAAACAATCAGATTGTTAAAAAGGTAGCAATCAAAATATCAGAAACTACTTGTTTGGCCTGGGCATTGTGGCTCACACCTGTAATCCCAGCACTTTGGGAGGCTGAGGCAGATGGATCACCTGAGGTCAGGAGTTCAAGACCAGCCTGATCAACATGGTGAAACCCTGGCTCTACTAAAAATACAAAATTAGCCGAGCATGGTGGTGCATGTCTATAATCCCAGCTATCTGGGAGGCTGAGGGAGGAGAACCCAGGAGATGGAGGTTGCAGTGAGTCGAGATCATGTCATTGCATTTCAGCCTGACAAGAGTGAAACTCCATCTCAAAAAAAAAAAACACAACTTTTTTGGTTATCATTGAAGTATTTTATTAAGCATATTGCCATTGTATATAGTAGTTCCGGTTCTTATCCTCTTACAGATTACATTTTCAGAGAACTATATTACAGGGATGTAAACATAAGACAAAAGAAGATACTTAGACTATATATGATTAAGTGATGAAGACTTTAGGACACTATATAGTATGATAAAAATAACAGAGGATTTGGAATCAGACAGATGTGGGTTTGAGTTCTAGCAGCTCTGTAAAGTGGCGTGACACTTGGCAAGTTATTTCACATTTCAGAGGCTCAGTTTCTTTGCCTGTAATAGGCTCACAGAGTTGATGTGAGGATTAAGTAAGAAAACATGTAAAGCACCAACCACAGTGCCTGGAGCTAAAATGTTGGCTACTCTCTTCCACTCCTTGAACTTT